GAGTAGGTTAGGTCAGTGTTCCGGTGCCTTCTATCACAGGAGCAGCCTTTCCCCACATTAGTTCTCATATGGGCAAATGCGTGCACACAGATGCAATGTGCTCCCCACCCTCCTACAGATAAGTCAGACATCTAGCCCCGCTGTGTTTTCCATGCCAAGTCTGGAATGTGTCCTCCCTCATGTGGGACTTCTGGAAGCTAACTTCCATTGTCACATGTTTGACTTGGCTAGAGAAATAAATGTGCCAATGCTAGAAATGTCATATCTTTATATTCTGAGTTTTCCCACAATTTCCTTAGTATCCTATATTTTGGAATACTATACTTTTTCATTTTTCAGTTACATATTTCAGTCTCTGGCCCACTGGGTTTTCTGTCTTGAGAGAAGCCTACATCTCACCTGGTGTCTCCTGGCTCTCAAATGGCCTAAGAGGAAGGTGATAGATAGGGAGAGGTCGAAGACACACACAGTGTTGCTTCTTTACTCCTGACAAGAGATGGTGATGCACCTAAATTTGATGGCTTACTGAATCTTTTTATCCCATACTTCGACATGAGGGGAAGAGGATTGTCATGGAAACAGAACTGTACATCATGGAGAAGTGTTTGTATAATTTTTCTGTGTTCACATTTTTGTAAAATATCAGCTCTGTGAGAGTGCCAGGGTCCTGCCATATTTTTCAAGCTGGACCCACAGCCCCCAGCTTAGGGGTGTGGTAACCAGTAAGCCTCTTACTTTTCATGTTTCTGATTATGAAAGAAAACGAATGAATCAGATTCCTGGAGGAGTTCAGGTCTCTTGCAATGTCCTGATTTCCAAATCATTTTCAGTAGCCAGAAATATAAACAGGGTAACACTTGTCTTTTTGTTGAGTAAATAACTGATGAGCTAAAAATAATAAAATGTATCACAGGAATTCAGTTCCTTCTTACCTCTGGACTCCTTCCATTACACGTGACACAGAATAACCCTCTACCTTGCCTGTTTTGGAAAGGTAAGTATTTTAGCATTCATTTTTATTACACTTCTGCCTTAGTCTCATTTCCTCTATAGGACACACACACACACACACACACACACACACACACACACACTCACACACACACACACAGGGCTCTCGGTTCAGCCCTCATAAAAACACACAAGGTCTCGGGCGGCCTCTAGCGGTAGCTTGTCACCTTGCAGGATTCCGCTGCTTCCGAAGGTCTCCAAGCGCAGTGCAGGCGCCCAGGCGCCGGAATGAGCTTCCTTCTCCAGCCTGCAGGGTGATGCAGAGGGGAGCCAGCGAGCTCCCCTCCGGGGCTGCTCTGCCTGCAGCCTGGCTTCCTCGTGAGTCAGTGGCCTGCACCTGCCAGACTGAGTCTGGGCGACCCAGAACCACCGGAAGGAAGTGACATTGTGGCTGCCTGGGCCCTAGACACAGCCAGAGAGGCTGGCAGCCCAGGAAAGCCTGCCAGTGTGAGACAGCCAAGCCCTGTGTCCTGGGAAAGCGGAGACTTCAGATTCTGCCTTTGAGTGCCTGTGTAGACTTGTCCCGTGGGACCGAGAAATTGCACTGGTGGTGAAATGGGGTATGGGATGGGGTAGCAGTGCTGACAAGTGGGCTGGGGCAGAAGTGCGTACCCTCCCATGAGATGGACTTCTCTGGGGCCTTTGCAGTGCCCGAGGCCTCCCAGACCCAGAGTGCTGGGCCCCAAGGAGTGACTAGGAACCCCCCCCATCCTTCACCCTGTGGCGCCTGAGCATCCACCTTTGTCAATTCTATTTAAAAGTGAAATTTAAAAGTTCTAACGTGTACTGGCTATTGTTTTTTACCCAAGGATAGCTCTGTATAAGCTCTTCTCATTTGCCTGCTACAGATTCTGCCTACAAATTCTTGGGTTTCTCCATGTAAAGCAAACAGAATTTTCCCTAAGCCTGCTTCCACCCTCATTCTGTACCCTTCTCCTTGCCAGGATCTCCAAAGTGCTAGCAGTTTCTTCTGACCACCCTGTCCTGACTGTGTTCCCATCTAGGTTACATCCTGACTGTTTGCTGGAAACGGCCATTTTCGAGGCTGCTCATGACTTCTGAGTTGCCAAACCCGAAGGCCTTGTCATTAATAATGTGTCAGGTTTGAGACGCTATATAGCCACGGCCCTTGGTGTTCAGGGACATGGCTTTATTTCCTGAGAGCCAGTCTCGGATCATGAACTCGGTCTCCGGGGTGGGCTGGGCTGCAGATGTAGTCATCCAAATTCAAGCCTGACTCAGCCAGTGCTGTAATGAGCTGGGAGGTCCCTTTTCTTTACTCTCCAGTCCTCTTTCCATCCTCATAGCTGCAGGGGACACACATGGGGACAGAGCTTGTGTATCTTGCTGTCTGGGGAGGAAAGCAGTACCCAGCCCGACTTCCCTTCTGTCCACACCCGAGGGAGACTCTCCTCACTTGGTCCCTTGTCCTGTGCGGGCTGCATTCGTGTGTCTCGGTTCCCACCATCATCTCCCGGAGCCAACATCCTTGCTGCCCACACTCCAGCTCCTTTCTATCTCTTGGCTTGTTCAGAGCCTCTTCTGTATCCCATCTGGTGGCCACAGAAAGTTTTCAGATTTTCCTTCGCCTCACTGAGGAGCATGGGGCTCTGTGACCACCCTAACCCAAGGCTGCTCTGCTGTTCAAAGCCACTGGATGCAGACATTCAGCCCAGAGCTGTGTGCGGTTCTCCCTGGCATGTGCTGAGGGGAGAGACACGTGTGTCCTCTGCTGTGGAGTCCCTGGTGAGGTACAGATGTGTTGGACTGCAGCCACCATAGAAAACATTTTACATCATGGCTGAATCCAAGCACACAGCACGAATGAAAGAACAACTTCATGAAATGATATCTACCAGGACCTTGTAACGTGCTCCAATATTTCCCACTGCATTGCATTTTCTTCTAATGCATTTTGTCCCATTAAATCCATCTTTGTGATTCAAGAGTAGGTTTCAGCCCACAAATTAAAAAACATCGCCGGAACAGTGGCTTACTTGGTTCAGAAGGATGAGTACTGGGCACCATACCAAAAGGGAAGAAATAGCTGCATCTTTGTTTTGTTCTTTCTCAAAATGCACAGCTTTGAGAATAAAAGAAAGTCTTGCCTTTCAAGCTGTTGTCTCTACTATGGGTTTAAAAATAAATCCATTCAGATATTCAATAGATTTTTCATCCTCAGCCTTATCTACTCTTGGAGAACAATGTGTGTGGAATATGATAGAATGATACAAAGTAATGGATTTAAAGAAGCACAAAGAATTAAACCTTAGTTAATGTGCCCAAATGTTACATATCCTGTTGGTTATAGTGACAACAGTTAAGTCTGAGTATACATTGTAGGTCAGGCCCTGTGCTTAGCACTTCAGTTACTATACCAGTTAACCCTTACCACCCTATGATACAATGTAAATATTATCTCCATTTGCTCAAAAGGAAACTAAATCTGGCTCTGTCCATTTGGCCCCTTGCTCCTCACCTAAAGATCATTCCTCATGTTTTTACTTCCTTTGCTTATGTTGGTTCTGCCCCTAAACTGGAAGACTGAGACTTTATACCAGTTTGTGTGGGATCAGATAAGTTCAACATATTGTCCATGCTCAAAACATCCAGCTTTTATTTTTAATTTTATTTAAAAGGAAAAAGAGAAAAACACAAAACAAAGCGGTGTAAGGGTACAAGTAATACAGAACTACAAAAAAAAAAAAAAAACAGTAAGAAATCACCAGTTAATAGATTACATATTATCATCTTAGAGATAGTTGCTCAAATCACAGTATCAAAGCATACAAAGTGGACATTCAAACAGTGAGACTGCAAACAGTTGTGTTCAGTGATCCAACCAAAAACATTAATATGGTCAGCTATTTAACACCCCTAAACACACTTGCTGTTGTATCCTTTAGAGCTCTTTTTTCCCTCTCTTTTTTACAACAAAATTTACACATTTTGGGTTTTATTACTCCTTAGTTCTTATTACTTTTTTTTGGGGGGAGAGAATAAAGTCAAATATGGCAAAACAAAGCTGTCAGTCAAAACCAAGGATAGACATAGCACATGATGTAAAACAGAGTACAAGGTTATCAACAATGGTTATCAACAATGTCTCTTGTTTCCTTAAAAAGACTTGTCTATCTCATTAGATATTATAAAGTTGAACAAAACAGTAGAGAACAAGACCAATAAAACTTAAGCATTATAAACATTACAGGACTTCCAAAGGAGACAATAGTCAAACCAGAATGGGCATCTTAGTGAATCTTATTGCCTTCAAAGTAGTTGCCTATACCCAAAACATCCAGCTTTTGAAGTGACTTTTTCTGTTCCTTGATAGTGGGAGAGCACAAACACACACACACACACACACACACACACACACACACACACACACACACACACAAGCATGTGCACACACACACACAGGGTCTTCATTGATGGTGGAGTACTAGAAAATTCCAGTGAAAACTCAATTTCTGATCTTATATTTATTAATTAGGAGTGCTTCTTCTTGACTCGTCTGGATGCAGAGCCTATGGAATGGCACAGACTGTGAAGCCAGCTCTGGGATGAAACTTTCCAAATCCACCCCAGATCTTTCTCATTTATTAGAGGTTACTCTGATTTGATTCTCAGTTCTCCCTGGTATGGAAATGGGGCCCCTTCTCTAGCTCGATGCATTTGTTCCTAATTAGTTCCCTAGTTTAAAAGCCTTTTGGGAGCCCAGTGCAGTCGTCACCCTTATTCTCCTTCTATTGACAGATGGCAGTGGAAATGCTTGTGCTGTTTCTCCCCTGCCTCCTTCCTAGCTTACCCAGGAGCCATATCCAGGAGGCTATAGATGGGCCCTGCAGCTCAGTGGTAAGAAAACCTCCCTGAGACTAACAAGGATAAGCTTTTCCTGAGCCCTGAGGCCCCACCCACCAGGTTCCCTCCCCATGTGCCACCAGCCAGCACTTGCATGCTGAGAAACCTCCCGCCCGGCCCTTTGCCCTGGGTCCAGAGTTCATGCCTTGCCCACACTGGGCACTGGGTGTTCCTACAGGCCCCAAACCATGTGTGTCTCTTGTTTTCCAGCTGCTGAAGGCCTTAACCTCCCAACTCCTGGTGGCTCCCGAGATCACAAAGAAAACAAGGTCCCCACGGGAGCTTGGGAAATGCAGCTCATACCAGATCCTGTGACCTGCAAGCTGTGCCACATAAAAGGAGCAGGTAGGCAATCTGGCAGGATCAGAGATTAAAATCAACTTTCATGCTGCTAGTAGGGACAATTCTGGGGAATGGGTACAGGGTAGTTTTGGGAAGAGGCTCTGTAGAAGGGAGAGAAGGGTCAGATGTGGCTCAGAGCTGTTAATTCCTCCCGTGTTCAGGGACCGGCGGCAGCCACCCTGATACTGGAAAGCATGGGCATCAGGGAAGATGAGTCAGGTGCTGTGCGGTGCCTGCAGACTGAGCCACAGGCCATGATTTCCATGCCCTGACTTGTCAGAGATTCAAGGGTTTCTTCAGGTGAGAGCCTTCTCCCCAGAAGACTTAACCCTGCCTGACACATACACACCCCTATTGGGGAGCCCTCAGACCCTGATGCCTGGGTGTACCTAGGTCCTCCTGTATGTGAGTGTAGCTACTCTGCAACTAGTGCCCTGAACCCCAGTGAGCACTACACTGCATAAACTGGTGGCACAATAGAGAGAGGACTACGTGTTTGTCTTGTCACTGGACAGTGCTTATATACCTGCAAAGCACCACGCTAGCCCTACACCAACTAGGCTTGCTGAAGAGAGATCCTGTGTTCCGTGAAAATGCTTGACATGTGTCTTACTATCCACTCCTGGGGACCTTTGGTCACAGCTCACAAGATTCCCAAGTCTTTTAGTGCATATCCTATGTGCCTTGTTGTCCCTGCCACTCTAGATCTGATGACGTCTCTGTCCCTCACAGATCAACAGTCAACAAAAACACTGAGTCCACCTGCCCCTTCACAGGCAGTTGTGAAGTCAGCAGGGCTCAGAGGCACCACTGGCCCAGCCCGTGGTTTGCAGAAGTGTCTAGATGCTGGCCTGAGGAAAGGCAGTGAGATGGCCTCCCACTGGCCCAAGAATCTATCGCCCTAATGGGCTCTGTCTGTTTTGTCTTTGTTTCCAATACACAGTTGCTAAATCACAGGCAGAGGCTTCCTGACACCAGTTGGATTATGTTACTGTTCTGCTCCAACCTCCATGGCTCCCTATCACCTCTCATGCACGTATGTAGTCTCATGGTCTAGCTTCTGTACAGTACCTTTCAGACTTTATTTCCTTTCTCTCCCTTGCGTGGTCCATGCCAGCCACACCAATTTTGACGCTGCCTTAGAACACATGAAACTTGCTCTTCCCCTGGATTTTGACACTTGCCATTTCTTCTGCCTGAGTCTTTCCCCTAGATCAGTGGTAGCGAACATTTCAGAGCTTATAATGAGAACAAATAGCTTGCTGCAGCACATGTGCCATGGGTTTACCACCATGTAAGGAGCCATCGAAGCTGGAGATTGATCACATGTGTGGGGCTAAAGCAAGGCCAGCCCAGGAAAAACAGAGAGATCCAAACAAGCTATGTAAACAAGTTGTTCCAGCACCAGGAAGGCAAGGGGCCCAGGCCTGCCAAGCAATGGGTTGCTAGGCAGAGGGGCTGAAATTGACATCATCTTTCCCAGTATATAAATAAGGATGCTACAGTGGTTGAGCATTTACATGGGAGGAAAGCCAAATGTAAAAAATTCAACATTTGGCTTTTAGTAGCGGATAATAGGCTGGCTCCAGCATATCACTGTCTCACTATGGCTTTGTAGGGGGTCTTGATATCTAATAGTGTAAATTCTCAAACTCCATTGTTTTTCAAGATTGTTTACTACAAGGGTACTTGTTTCAAATTCGTGATTAATGTATTATTTAGGTCCTTTTTGCTTTCTTAAGTCAATTTTAATTGTTAATACACTGGCACTACACAGCTTGCTGAATTTCTTGAGTTTGCCTGCAGAAGAGATTGTAAATTTACATACTTGGGAGGAAACTGAAAAAGAACTTAGAGCAAGACTAGGGAAAAAACAAACCAACACAAATCAGCTGGCCCTCTATAATAGATTTTAAAGGGTTACTTAATAAAACTGCTGCTTTCTGCTCCTCTCACTACTTCTCACAGGCCCCAGGCAGGGAAGGGCACCAAAGCCTCCACTGAGCTTGGAGTTTGGCCCAGACAAGGAAGGAAAAGAAACAATGTTGCTTGTTTTAGCTGCAAGGAGAAATCAGGGTTATGGTTAAATCTACTCAAAACACAGTTCAAATCTTCCTAGATTATTGTATTGCTCAATTGGTTATTCTTCCCTTGACAAAAATTGGAAAATCTATAAATAAAGAAAGGGTACTTAAGGATTTTGGATCTTCTGATACTTATAGAGAGGTGGGACATGGCTCTGGCCTGGCGAAGCCACCCTGGCTTTTCCTATCACCCGTGCACATGCTTTATGAATCAAAAGTTTACACTGCACTTGTGCTCAGATCCCCCCAAAATAGTGGAGCCTTCAGCCCAGAGCAGGAGCACCACCTGAATATCACAGAAGAACCCAAGTTACCTAAATATAAAATGCAATTTCCATTGTCTTTATACCTTACCACAAATATTCTTTATAATCTTTAGGTCTAAAAGTAAGCCAAATGTGCTCACCATTTAAAGTTTTTTAAAAAAAGGGCGAGTTCACTTGGCAGTATATATCATTTAAAATATTTAAATTCAGATTTAAATTTAACCCAGATTTCACTTGGCAGTATATATCATTTAAAATATTTAAATTCTAATAAAGATGTAACTACCTCAACAAATAGATAATATAATCAAATAAATCAAATCTAAAAAGTGTTGGAAAGCTCTTCATACTGGACAATAAAAACACCCAGTCAAGTGCTAATGCGGGGTCGAGGATACGCTTGTGCTTTTCCAGGAAAAGCTAAATGACCTATCTGGGTGCCAGTGTGTGCTGTCCAGCTATATCAGGGGCCCAAGCCCAGGAAAGGAGTTGATCCCACCTCTCAAGAAGCTGATGCTCAGTCCTACGACAGTGATGACTTGGAAACCATGCCACAACTCATAGAAAAGGATGAAACTAGAACCAACCTTAATTGACCCAAGATGCCCAGGAGATGGTAACCAAAAATAAAAAAGGTCCAAACAGATGATAGAAGTGCATGCTAAGTCCTATGACAAAAATATGTTAAATATAGATAAGATTTTGCCCCTCCCAAATTCTTTGATAAGAGATCTCTGCTAAATTGGCCTATAACAAATCTGACTAGTCTATTTAAAATTACAAATTCAATAATTGTTAAAGTTTGTGTAATTCAATTTGGCTAAAATATATTTGAGTGCACTCTGATTGTGTAAGGTGTTCGTCAGTCTGCCTGTGTGTCTGTTTGTCTAGTCTGTTAAGCTGTTGTTGGAAGTCACTGAGCTAATGATCACTTATACATGTGGAGCCAACAGCACAAGTGCTCATACAGGAGTGCCCACGTGGCACCGGAGCACCTGAGAAGCACTCTGAGGGCATGGGATGCTGGAGGTGACAGATGTTTCAACCCTGAGCACGGAAAAGCGAGCTAGTTTAGCAAGGGGGCGTGAAATAGCCCCGAGGAACTTGGAGAGTTCTTGTGGACACTGACAACTCTGCATTTGTTTCTACAATGTCTGTCATCTGTCCATGTTTGTCCATTTGTCTGTTTGTGAACAGCTGTTCTTTTTATTTTGAGCTCAGCAATTTTCCTTTCTACTTTTTCTTTTGCATTTATAGATCATTTAATCAAGGTTTATCTGAGTTATAGAATTATAAAACATGCTTTCATCTGGGTTCCCAGTTAGTCAAAATGATACTAAAGTCAGTTGTGTAAATTTAATGTACATTGTTGCTTATCATAACTTGAGAGCCTCTCATTGTTCAAAAAATACATTAAATGTTACGTTTGGAGTTTTCATAAGAAAAAATTATTATAAAAATGATTAAACAAAAATCTCGGGGTTGGGATTGTTGGACAGGACTTCAATTGATGAATAAGAAAGTGGCCACCTGGTAACATTTTACCAACTCTTGTTCATTGATTGGAGCCCCCAGCCTGGATCTCCACAGACTTATGAGAGATGTCCCCAACTAAGGTTATATAAATATTATTCTAATATGTTCACATTGGTCATCATCAAAAGAAATAATACAAAAGGCTTTTTATTTTAAGATGCTCTGATACAAAGGTTTCATATGGTTATGACAAATGATTATTTGTAACCTCATGGTATATTTATATATTCATGCCTCCAGATTTACAGGTCTTTAAAAATATAAAAAGATTGTTTATGGTGACAAACTTTTGTTTCAGATCCAGACTTCTGCCGCTAACAAAAACTTATGAGATGTACATCCTACTAAAGGTCAACAAGTTGGGTGAAGGCTTTTGTGTATTAGATAGGGATGATTGACTAAAGGGAGAAATTTAATGTCAAAATGAAAATTCAAGTGTGTTACAAAATGTCATCATGGTTTTTATGCTATAACATTGTATAATTGTTTGATTTCTAATTTTCTATGTAAAATATGTAATTTTTTGTTAATATTCTACAGGTATTCAAATGTTAAAACATCCATGGTTGTTAAAAAATAATGATTCTATTGTATCTTGTAAGATGTTTGATATTTAAATAAGATAATAATGCCTCTAACTACATTGTACTATTATCAATCTTTTTTTCTGGATGTTCAACAATGAAGGTTTGGAGACCAACAATTAGAGAGACAGATGGGCTAAGAGGACAGCCAGTATTTTGGCCCTAGCCCTCAGTGAGGACTCAGCATATAAGAGAATCTCAGCTGCGTCATCCTGTACTCAGTGAGTCCCTGGTCTTCTGATGAAGAAGACTGTAAGACCACTGCAGAAATTTATCATCGGTGTGTGGTGTGCCTAAGGAGAGTCACCAGGAGCAAATATCTCCCAAGCTTTCACAGAAAGCAACTTGGTCAAGCAATAGCCATGACTCACCCAAACAGCTGACACTGATGGAAGAACTAAGAGGTGCTGTAGCTGGTTCCAAGGTGTTCCTGAGGAGACCTAACTGACCTTGATAGATAACAAAAACTGTGTTTAAAACAAGTCTCACCTTAACTTGGTCTTGAACATCCTGCAGAAAATGTACAACTACTAGAGGATATAAAACAATGCTGAAGTAATATGTTATAAAAGAAACTCAAATCACTAATACTTTTGGCAATTGCCAGCTACACTGGTGGCTGACTACTGTCACAGATTAATGCACTGCACAGGGTTTCAACTGCAGAATGCAGGGACTTAAAATCTTTGGACTTCACTTAAAATAAAAAGATGTACAGAGCTCTCCAATACAGCTCCTCCAGCTTCAACTGATCACCCAACCTGTGCAATAACAAAACAAAAAAGAGGGATAGGTAGGAAGCCGTTAAAGCTGGAGATTGATTACATGTGTGGGCCTAAAGCACCCAGCCAGAAAAAACCAGAAAGACCAAAACAAGCTATGTAAACAAGTTATTCCAGCACCAACAAGGCAAGGGCCCCAGGCCTGCCAAGCAATGGGTTGTTAGACAGAAGGGCTGAAATTGACATCACCTCTCCCAGTATATAAATAAAGGTGTTACAGTGGTTGAGCAGTTCCTTTCCTCCCATCGGCAGTGTGAGGGCTCTACCTGACCCTGGCTTTAAGTCTTTTCTTTATTTTTCTCATCCTCTTGCAGGTCCTTAACCTCAAGAACCTCCCGAGCCGCACTGGGTCGCAGCATCACCACTACTCTAGACACTCGCCTGGCTTCCTTTTTCTCTTCTGTCTCTTGAGTATGGTGTGTGCCACTCAGTAGGTACTCAATAATTTATGCTTTCTCTGTGCTAGACAACTGTGACCCAATAGATGATATAAGTGGGCCTCACCAAAGGCCTGTTGCCTGGGCTTATTTGGCTGCAAAGTTGTGGAGCCCACATTTATTCAAACTGTACTGTCTCCATCACACTATTATTCATATGGAGCAGAGGAGAGGAAACTGAGTGGCCAAGTGTCTTGGCTTGAATTCAGTCTGCATCTTTTTTGTTTTTTCCAATACTAGGGTTTAAACCCATGATCTTCACACTGAGCTACCCCACAGCCCCTTGTTATTTTTTCATTTTGAAACAAGGTCTTGCTATGTCATTAATTTGCCAGGTGGGACTCAGACTTACGATCCTCCTGCCTCAGCTCTCTAGAGTTCTGGGATTACAGGTGTTTGCCACCACTTGTGGTTATCACTCATTTTGGACTTTGGACTTGTCACTAGAATCTAAGCTTATTTATGTTTCTGAAAAACATGGACAGTGCTGTCCCATCCAGTGGAATTTAGCCCCAGAGCCTTTGAAATGCTAATGCTGTATGTTATGTTTGTATCTAAAATGTACCCTAAGAGGTCCAGGTATGTAGAGGCAAGGCTTTGGGAGGTGATTTTACCTTGAGGGCTTTAACATCATCAGTGGGTTATACCGTTGATGGATTCATAATCTGATGACATCATTGGGAGGGGATGGAAACTTATCCAAGGACACGGGGCCTTGTTGAAGAGCATAGGCCAAGGTGATATGATGTCAGGGACTGTATCTTGTCTGCAGTCCTTTCTTCCCTAGGTCTTTCTTTTCTTCTGTGTGACTTGAGGTGAGGAGCTCTTCTCTACCACACCCTTCTGCCATAATGTTCTCCTCTGCCACAGACCCAGAAACCGTGGAACCAAGGGAACCTCTGAAACCACGAGCTGAAATAAATCTTTCCTCTTTTAAGTTATTTTTCTCAGGTGTTTTGTCACAGCATTTGAATGGTGACCAGCATAGTGTGCAAACAGAAGTGAGATAGTCAGACCCTCTTTGTGATTCTCCCAGCAGCCAAACATCTCCTTCCACTGTTCCCGCTTCACTGTCCACCCTTCCCTTCTCACAAGGCACTGTTTTTTGCTTATGAGCTATCTGTGAGATGAAGTAAAGGAATCCACTGTCACCTGAGGCTCCTAGAATTGCAACTAAGTTCAAGGAAGCCTCAGGACCTTGCCTCCCTCCCCATCCTTCTTTGACCAGGGCAGCTGACAGGGACGGGCAGAAAGGTACTCTCTGTTGCCTTCAGTGGCTTTGCCTGGCGCTGTGATACTGTCGCCAGAAGCCCTCAGCTTGGGAGGCTCCTAGATGGGATGGAGAGTGAACCCCAGACAGACTTTTCTGCTCTGAAGAAAGGGTCTAGAATTTTAATCTTAGGGGAAAGTCAGCCAGACATATTTCTTAGTCCTTTTCCCTGACTCTCTACCCAGCCCAGCACCAATGCTCTGGTTACTATCCACATAAGCATGGGGAGGCTGATAGTGGGGTTGGAGGCAGAAGAGAAATCCTCAAACTCCTGCCTCATCAACTGATGTTTTGGCAGTTCCAGTTTTGACGAGCACATCAGCTTGCTCCTGCTGTGCTCCTGAGACTTACAGGTTCCCCAGCAAGGTGGGGTCTGGACTGGTTCTGCAAATCAGAGTTTCCAGCTGCTTCAGGGTCTGACTCTGGATTAACCACAGCCTCGTATGATGCTGAGGCCACATAGGAATCTAATGCTCTAGTAACTGAAGAGGACTGCAAGGACCAGGGTGAAGACCGGGAGCCTCAACCCATGCAACCAACAGGGACCTGAGAGAGGGCAATGGGGAATTAAGTGTCGATGTCCGCTCCCGGCCGGCAGGAAGGACACACGACAAAGTCTGGTAGTGGACAACCTTTTCTTTTTATTTTCCTTCTCCGTACAGCCTGCCCTGGGATCGCTCCCAGCCGAAGCCTCCTCTGGTCCGCTCCCCGCGGCTCCTTTTGTGCTTCAGTCTGCCCCAAAGCCTCTACCGGTCCGCTCTCCGCGGCTCCTTCTGGGCTTCTACTTCCGGGCTTCTACCTGGCTTCTTCTTCCGCCCAGGGGTGGCACCGGTATATATACGGGTACAGTGTCCAATCATGTTAAAGTAAGCAAGGCAAGCTGATTGGCTAACATCATCAGTTGCCAGGCAGACTATATTGTTGAGCGGGTTGTTTACGCGGTAAGCAGGAAACTAACATATTCGATGGGAGGGGTAATCTACCTCAGGCTTTGCTCTTTACCACAGGCCGCACGTCCGCCGCGCAAGGCGAGCTATCACAGACGCGGCTCCCAACATCTCCCCCTATTTTATTTTTTATGAATGTGCGCATCGTAGCCCTTCCTGGACTGGGTGCAGAGGCTTATGCCCTATGTGTAGGTCCACCGTAGGTCCTTGGCTTAGACCCTGGTTGGCCATGCCATGGTCTGCCAAGGCCCTGAGGCCCTCGTCCTTTTTCTAGGGCCAGGCACAAACTGGACGGAACCTGGATGCACACAAGCTTGCATTCATTTCCTCTCCGTAAAGAAATCCCCTCGGAGAGAAATTTAGACCTGGGCAGCATCTAACAGTCCAGCGGCTTACGTGCAGGATGGGGTAGGGCCTGGCTTAGGTCGAGTCGTGCTGGGGAGGCACGCTCTTACCCGTCATTGACTCACCTACCCTGCTGTGTATTGTCACCTTATGGAGGAGAATGAGGGATGCCCGCCATATCTAGACTCGGTCGTGGGCCAATTGAGCAAGCCATGCATATGCCTGAGGATCTTCTTGTCCATTTCGGGCTACCGCTATTTCTATTCATCTTATTGGTTGGTCTGTGATGGATCTCCAGTAGGGCAGGTCTGATCTTCAGTCGAGGGCTTTGTTGCCCGTGTCAGTCTCTCCGGTATCCACAGTGGTTCTCGTCCCGGTTCCTGTGGGAAAACACAAACCGCGCCTCGGTTCCAGCTGACCACTGGATCCGGGCCCATCCATTGTCCTGTCAGGACATCTTTCCACTTCACCCACCCTTTATGGTTGGGGGAAGGGTTGCAGTGCTCCACAGCTGGGGAGCGATTATCATTATTTAAATTTAAAAAATTGTGTGTGAATAGTGCCATGGATAATCGTGCCTTTGGGGCCAGGCCTTGGCCTACTCCCCCTTTTTGTTTTTGTAAAATTTTTTTGAGGCTTCTATGAGCCCTCTCAATGATTCCTTGACCTTGGGGATTGTATGGGATACCATGTTTTAATTGAACCTCCATCATTTTGCAGAACTCATTGAAGGCTTTGCCTATATAGGCTGGTCCATTATCAGTTTTTAATATTTTTGGTTTGCCCCATGCGGCCCAAGCTGCCAGGCAATGATTGATCACATTAGACACTTTTTCACCTGTTTCTGCTGTTGCAAATATGACGTGAGAACAGGTGTCTGTGGAAACATGAACATATTTAAGAGTCCCAAACTCCTGTATATGTGTGATGTCCATCTGCCAAACATCACCAGGGATCAAACCTCGAGGGTTTACTCCCATCGGTATGGCAGGTTTGTATGTGGCACAGGAGTCACATAGTCGCACGATATCTCGTGCATCTGCTCTAGAAACGTGGAAATGGTTTGCTAGTGTCCTGGCATTGACATGAAATTTATCATGGAAGGCACGGGCTCGCTCGATTGGTGTTAGTAAGGTAAAAATCCATAACGGGCGAGTGGCAGTGTCAGCAGCCGCATTCCCCTGTGCCATGGGCCCCGGCAGGGATGTATGTGCTCTTATGTGGGTGGTGAAGACCTTATGGTGTCTGTTCTGAAGCAATGTCTGGATAGACAGGAACAGTCCAGCCACTGTGGAAGTGGATCTAATTAAACTGGCAGTCTCAAGCACTTGCATAGCATTGACCACATACCTAGAATCGGAGACAATGTTAATGGCTTCTGAGAACCGTTCAAGAATCATTTTAACGATCTGCAGTTCTACCACCTGAGGCTGATCTGGTTTAAATTGTATGGTAACCGGGGGCTTGCCTAGGATCACATAGGCGCCTATCCCCGTCTTGGAGCCATCTGTGTATATTGTAGTTGCTGGGACTAATGGCTCAGAGGCAGTAACCTTTGGAAAAATTATAGGGTGCTGAGTGACAAATGACAAGATAGGGTCTTTAGGGTATTGATTGTTTATATCCCCATGGAAAACACATCTCAGAATGGCCCAGGTATCTATGCAGGCAGCCAGGGTCTTAATCTGGCTGGCGGTATAGGGTACTCGGATGGCTCGTGGTCCCGAGCCAAAATGTTGGACAGCTCTATCATGCGCTTCAAGGGCCAATGAAGCGACTGCCTCCGGGTAATGCTCTATGACTTTTGCAGGTGAGACCTTAGGGTGTATCCACAGTAGTGGTCCTTTCTGCCAAATCACCGCTGTAGGCTGTAGACTAGTCTGTAGCAAACAGACATCAAAGGGTCGCCCTGGTTCAATTCTGTGTAAGGTAGCCCCACCTAAGGCTTTTTCCACTCTCTGTAAGGCAGCTCTTGCCTCAGGAGTGAGCCTCCTGTGGGAGGCTATATCTGGGTCTCCCTTCAGAAGGTCGAACAGGGGTTTGAGATCTGAATTTGGTATATGTAAATATGGCCTAATCCAATTAATGTCTCCCAATAGCTTTTGCATGTCATTTAGGGTCCTAACGCCATCCGTCCTAATGGTGACCTTCTGTATAAGTCTGGAGGCGACACTGAGGTCCACACCTGCTGACCCAGGGGTGGCCCTTGTTGAAGGCTGCCACCCTGAGCTGTCCTGTCTCTGGGGCGGGGGCCCGCCTGTGAAG